GTGCTCTGATCAGTGTTTGACTGTAAATAAGTTACAGTGTAGTTGGAAAGCCAGATTTACAAGCCATTACTGAGGTGGCACAATGTTTGTGAACAGTCGGTACACTGGCGTTACATGCCTCTTCAGCCAATATGTTGTGATTTGCCAAATGCATGCATGCATCAATCTGAAGAATGTACCTGTGAGTGCGGTGCCACGGCAGTTATGGCATCGAATTTGATTACTGCTTGCCATAATCTTATCAGTTTTGATTTTATTGTACTTTTTAACTATTATCATTCCTATTTATAGGTCTATTATTCTTCATACATTGTTTCTTTGGTGAAATATTTTAGTTTCCCTTTGATACCGTACATGTATATCTTTGAGAAATGCAATTACATCTGTAACTCAAACAGATCTTTCTTTTTCTCAGTGATTCTCTTGTCATTTTAGTTTTCTACCTTCAATGTTTTTTGTTCCATTTTAAGGTTGGATTAATTGGCTTTCGAGCTACAGTGGTTTATTTTCACTTTTATTAATCCTGGCCACCTTAAAGTGGATTCTTTTGGTTTGTTGTTTGATGTTTGTCTTTTTCTTTTTAATATATATATGTTCTAGTTTGTTTTGTTCATTCTTGTTTGGCCGAATGAATGATAATAATAATAATCTGCATGCACTGTAAGACTAAAAGATGCTGATAGATTTGATGAACAGTGTTCTAATAAATCTTGGGGATGCATTCCACTAAAAACCTGTATTTAATGAAATATGCACCCATAGAGAACAGCACAAAATTGGACAGAAATGTAGCCTACCAACTCTTGAATCCTGTAAACTCGTATCCAGGAAAATTTATACCTGAGACAACTCGTATTCTAATATTTACTCCCAAGTCAATTTGTACCCAGATCAACCCTTACCCAGGTCAACTTGTACCCTGGTCAATTTGTACCCACGACAACTAGCACTCCATGCTTAGAACTGGGGGCACTATCCCATTTGATGAGTTTCTCTGGTGACTTGTAGGGTTTCGTTTTCAATTAAACTCTGTGATGGTCTTAAGTCAAGTTGACAGTGCCCTCAGTGTTTCATTTATACAACTTGTGCGCATATTTGAAGCATCTACTAAAAGTAGAGTGAGTTGCTGATCGTTACAGATTATGAACTCTCATTAATGAAAAATGTGGAAGCACATTTCATTTATTTATTTTTTAATCATAGGCTGACTATAATATCTTTGAATATACTCTTTTATATTTAGGCAATGGATGTTAAACCATCACAGGCAAATTTAACCAATTATGACACTTTGCCAGGCACATGCACAGTAACTGGTTTGGTCTTCTTTCTGTGACAAATCTTAGTCTGGTTCTATGCCAACATAGCTGTTGTGATTTCATATTCACAAGATAGGAATCACACCATTGTACAATTTCATATTTTTTCCTTTTTTTGGCCCCCCAAAAAACTCCAGAGCTACGAATCAGAAAAAGAAAATGTAAGACTCTGTAATTAAATGTCAATTTAACAATACCAAAAGAAGAAAACTCTTAATTTTGGGGGACAAAAAAAAGGATGCTAGATGGGATTGGACGCACCTTGAAGCATATCGTATATGTGATCTCAAGATGTGCCACTTGCACTATCTACTAGACCGCTGATCCTACTTGGAATGAAATGCAATGGGAATTTGATAAGCCACATAAGCTTACTTGTGTAAACGTATCAAAGGGAGCATTGTTTACTTGCAGTTGGCTAAATAGCATTGAGTTAAATTTGTTGAATGTCCACTGTCTTATATAAAAGCAAGTTTTGTGAAGTTAATATCAGGTGTATCAGTTTTAATGTGCTGTATTAAATGTAACATGTATGTAAGATAATGGATTAGTTAGGCTCAGCTAGGTACATTCATGTATATATGTATGTACTCGGGTTGCTAAGTTTATGAATCAATAAAAGAAAAATCATTGTGTTGAAAAAGCATTTTTCATTTGTCGAGGTACCTTCATGAATAAAAACTCAAAAAGGTAATGTTGATTTGCATGACTAGCAATGCTTATTATATGATACGGTATTCGTGGATTTTTCATTTTCCCCATATCACACCCCTGAATACCTGCATATATTCCTGTCATCTGATTGGTGATCACGTCAACCGAATTATTTGTTCCATTGAATGGTACCCACTGAATAGAACTTCATTTCTCTAGACTGTTTGTCACCCCATTTCATTTGCATGTATCTCATTCCCAGTAGGAAAATAATGTAGTGATGGTAACCAGTTTAACATTGCATGGTGACAACTTCAACACGAATCTGTTTTGCATACTGATGGACGTCAATACGTTAGTGGGACCTGTTCTCCTAAGAGAAGAGGATTTATGCAAATATTGTATGAAAAAATATTGAATGTTTCAATTACATGTACTTCCAATTGTAAGAACAATTTCATTCAGTGACTCATAGAATATGCAATTCCTCAATTGCCTCATGGAATAGAACATTTCATCCATTACCTCTTGAAATTATTCTTACCATAGCATGAATCTGAAACATTTGTTGCATACTGTCTTTCATTCTTTAGGGTTGGCCGACCCCCTTTAAATTGTAGTTTGATTTCAGCTGAACAAAGCCTCTCATATATGCAGTGTTTGGTCATGCACCTAACTTTTCACTTTGGTGGCACATGGAAAGACACCTTGTAATAGAAACTTGTCCAGTTGAAGGTCGTGTGAGATGAGTGAGACCTCATTGAATTTCGATTGTCGGACGAAAACATCTCGAATGTGAGCTAAGTGAGAGTGTATAGTTGTCCGGTACCAATTAATATTCCTAAGATCCTAATGCAGATCAGTCAGTAAATCTCAGTTCCAGTGGAATCAGGTTGAAAGTTGGCAGTCAGAGCTAATTGATCGTAATAAACAATTGCTCCCAATTTCTTGCAACACTCAGCCTGGAAACCATCCAACAATCAATCTCATCAAAATAACAGTGAGTAATCATTACTTTTATTTTGTGTCTTAACTAATTGTTAAATGCTAAAAATGATTGAGTTGACTTTAGGAATATCATAATTATTGTGTTCACAAAATTTGACAATAAGAACATGGTGGTTGTCCTTAAAAAGGAAATGTTGTGATATGTGTAAACATTAATTTAGAGAGAGTGTTGTTTTGAGATTAAAAATTAAGATGTTCGATCAGAATTCACTATCTGTACATATTTATTTTGTTGCATAGTTGACAAAAAATCAATGTTGAAGAAGCCAGAAGTATTGAAATAACATTGTTAAAGTTGTTGCTTGTAGATTGGCTGGTTTGGCCCTTGAATTTGTATGCATTTTGCTTTAAAAATGATTTGATTCTGTAAGGGTCCAAGTGACTGTTTGATTTTCATTTTGTAAATACATGTTCATGTGATGTACATGTTACTAGTGAAAATACCAGGGTTTAAATCTATTGGATGGTCGCTTGTCTTTAATTTGGCTATTTTTCCTCCAAGAATATATGTAATTTGCAAACCTGGGGTTATTACTGAAATGTACAAATTTAGATTTGGAAAAATTATATTGCATATAATGATGACAGTGGTCCGGTCAACTTGAAGTGGCTTCTTTCTAGCAAACCCATGAACCAATTGTTTGTTTACATAGGATTACTTTGATGGCAAATCCTACAGAATCCACCAAGATCCTTTTAAAAGCCCTATTTGATAACAAGCAGGCATCTCTGTACTCATCATGGTACATGTACATATATTCAAACTTGTCAGGTGCCCATTTGTTCAGCAGTTTTCAGTGCATGCATTCATAAGGAGTGAATTCAACAACATACTCCAAGTACCACTCGCAATTGTGATGTTTCAGGAGGACCAAGAAAGACTACAAAGAAGGTAGTAGCTTTATAAAAATTTATTGTATTATTAATAGCTATAAAGCTATGAATTGGCTGGCCTGACTGTTTTTGCTAAGCAGAAATTAAATTGTTTGTTACAAGTGGACGGAGTGTGATGTCATACGCTCTGACAGGTGCTTGATCCATGCTACAATTCCTGGCCATTTAACGTTCCTGCATTGTTTTGTACCACCACCTCCCCTTCCCTCTCTTCTACATGTAGATGCTGAAGTGCCCGAAGAAGTTGCCATCACAGGGCAGTAACAAGAAGGAGATTGTCATAGAGATCAAAGTTGGCGTGTGAGGGGTCATCTGGTGTCTAGCTTTGACGATGTCCAAGTGGTCGACCGCTTCCACCATTGGATGCAGGCTGTCTGGCACTAGTGCCAGGCACTTGGCCTGCAGGTTCTGGTTACCAGGCTTGGGCACCCCTCCATCACACCATGGAGGAAGGACACAGAACGAGTTTAAACTACCCGGGTTATAACATCTGGCCCATTACTGCTTTCTGGCATGCCAGAGCGAGCTCTTGCTATGCATCATCTGTTTCACAACCATGAAGTCCCTTTATACCCTGGGATAGCTGCCGCAACATTTCGCTGGTAATATACATCATTAAAACTGTGTGTAGGGAAGTGTAGGAAATTCAATATTCATGTTTTGTTGGTGCTTGACATGATCTCACAGCAACATCAAATTTAATGATTGTGCAGTGTTAGGCCATGTGCCCTAAATGTTCATGCAGTTATTACCCTTAAGGAACGCTTTCTTCTGAAGTTCGTTTGGGAATAAATTGCCAAGTCATTTATAGGATTTTATACAAAATTGTATTTTACAAGCTCTCATGATCACTCCTTGTGATGAAATAGCGCATTTTGTTTGTTGTGAACTAAGCTTTTGAGGGGTGGTCAACATGTTGTTGGCCAGTCTTAGCCAAATTCGTACCAAGTCCTTGAAAACTGATGTATTGGAGGGAGGAAAATAAAAGTGTAGTCAAACCTCATCAAAGCAATGCTTATACATCATTCTGCTTATAAAAAGGAATTTTTTGGGTCCCAATCCTTTGTTTTTCATTGTTTGTATTCCTTATAATAGATGTACATGTACAAGGTTCCTGTTATAACAAGGTAATTTGCCTAGTCCGAAGGATCTCTTATTAACGAGGTTTGACTGTACAAACTTTGCATGGATAATGGAACAGAGTATCAATATGATATAAAACTTTACTCATGATGGAAAAAGTAGGCCTAATGTCTGAAGAATCTTTCTCTCTCTGCTTCCTGCTTACAGCAATACATTGAAGTTACTTGCAAGCAAAACCCTACAAGTATCGCTAGGACATCACTGGTCCCACAAGTCCGACTAAGCTGCATGCAGCAATCAGGCATTTTTGGAATGTTTTGTATTATTCATATGACCGGGCTGTGATGATCATCAAGCACTTTGAAGTGTCAGAGTTGTTACTCCTTCTGTGTCCTTCCTCCATGATCACACAGAATAGACTGCTTGCTCTATGTAAATAATAAAACAAATTACATGTACATGTATTTAAATAAAACCCGACGAAATCCCCAAATCAAACCATTAACAGGCAACTTGGAAATATGTAAAAATATTCAGAAAACATTGAACAACCCCCTTAAAATGTGGAGAAATCTATTCAAAGTTTCAATTTTAAAAATAATTGAAACTCCTCGCAGGCTTGGCCTGAAGCTTAATTCCTCCAAGTTCAACCCATTAAAATGCCTCTTGAAAATACTCTAAAACTAAAAACTTGAACCAGAGTTCCACATGTAAAAGACTTCTCCTTCCCCCCCGAAAAAACGTCAATTACATTACAATCAACAATTTTCCTTGTAATTTAATCTTTACTTTGCTATCCAAATTTCTCAGTTAGTCAAAGTGTTTCAATTTATTTTGCAATGAAATTTACCTGTACATGTATTACGCAAGACTATTTGCCCTCTCAGGTGTACAAAACACCATGGACCCCCATGCAGGCAACAATTGTTAAATGTGTAACTGTTGCACAGTCCATGTCAAGCTCCATGTAATGTGCTGTTCAACTCAATGCACTGCGCCATTTTAACACTAAAATCAAACGCACATCTGACTGATTGTTAATTCAAAAGCGTCATGTACTCGGCCTGTGTATTGATCGACACTTGTTTAAAAGCATGTACACAATTTTAAAAATTTCCATTCTTAGTGTAAGCCCTCTGATTGAAATAAGCTCAAACAAAGCTAATGCTCACTAGATAACATCGCAGAATGGTTGAACACAGATGTTACCTGGTTTTGCTATGTGCATGTCTAACATCCCGTTTGTTTTTAATGTGAACCATGGAAAGGCTCCTTTACCATCGTTACTGTGTCAAGTTTTTCCTGAAGAAGAATTCATTATCACACAAAATAATGTAGTGAATCTGTGTCCGACATACCACAAGGCTAAAGGCCTCGTGATAACTGAGAGTGTCCTGGGTATGACATGATCCAGATTCCCACCTCTATGCAAAATTCATGTGCAATTTTACACATGTAAGCCCAGATGTTATAGGTTTTTGTGAACAGCATATCCTGAGTTAGAAGCCATGTGTTCCAAATCCATTTTTTGTAGAAAAAGCTTGAGTTCTGACTGTGGCACCTCTTTTGTGGGATCAGTAAATACACATACAGTGTATTAATTGGTTCATGCACAGGAATACATGTATAGATATTGAGTGGTTTTCATCCCTTTATTGCTAACCCTTGGACCCTTAATCAGAAAAGATGGTATCTATCCAGACAAATCTTCCCAAAGTGTAGTACATGCAACTTCTTCCAAATTACTTTTGTAAATGAGGGTAATGCAGTTTGGTCTCTTGCTACCGATACATGTATGTGCAGAGGTTCATGCAGTCTAACCCAAAGACATAAGGGGGAAACCTCTTCTACCAGAAGATTTCAGGACTTGAAGAGGAAAAGTAAAGCGTACAATGCGTCCCAAAAGGCTTGATGTGCATACATGTATTTTTTGCCTATAATCCTTACTGTGCTTTTGTGTAGTTGCCTCCATCTCACCTGCTTATTTCTGGATGCGTACACCAAAAGAAGAATACCGTGTGCCACCATCTTGTTTGTTGGGGTGAAGAGACAGTTGTTTTGTCCTGACGTTTTTTCAATGATCTGTGTTCTTTGTGGGACAACTCATGGAATCAAATAGGCATGAGCTGTTCCACAAAAACCAAAGAATCAAAGAGGTAAGATGATGGCCAAGCTAAAAGTGATGCCATCCGAGTTGAGTTTCTCTGTTGTCATACATATAGTGTCTGCATTCTGCACTGCTTTTGGATTAGAAAATAAAATTTCATGCAATACAAAATCATAAAGATCAATAATTGATTTGGAATAATTAGGCATTTGTATACACCTTTTTCATATCTCAAACCAAAAAACATCTCCTTATGCAGGCTTGTTTCAAGCAGATTCCAGAGACTTGAAAGCAGCTGATATGCCCAGTAGTTCAATATAGAATCCATCCTGAAATATGGAAATAGCTTTTCAACAAACAAGTGCATCCCACTTTTTTCTATTTTGAGGGCCCAAAGTCATACTATTTTGGGGTTTTGTAACATTTGGAAAGAGTAACCTATTTCCTATTTAATTCCAAATATTTTGCAGAGTCACATTTTAAAACATCATTTTCTCAGCATTTTTTACGATAGCATTATTCGTGCCTAGTCTGAAATGTTGAAACATTGTTGGGAACAAAGATTCAAAGCTGCCAGAATAATGCCACATTGTCACCTTATACTTTTACCCTAATTGTTCCATGTATATGCCATTGGAAAGCTCCGTTTCTGCTGAACTCAAAAATACCTCTGCTTTGGAAAACTCCGACTCTCAGCTCATTTTGAGGCGACAGGGCACCATTATCAATGTGCTGAGATATTGTTCTTCGTAATAATGATGTATTGATACAAAATTTGTTGAAATAAAATGTGAAGAAACCTTCGGGACAATATTTCAACTTAAAATGAGAAGCTGTTATAATGATAATGTAAAATACTGTGCATTACTGTGACCGATTTTGTATGCGGATTGTTCATCAACAACCTGCTGGCTGGTACGACCGAATATTTGATCAAAATTAAGGTCGAATACTCTAGTCAATTATTCAAAGTGGCTCAGCCCTAGATTGTGCATATGTAGATTGTAGCTGTTTGTGAGGAACAAGTTAACAAATACATGTACAAAAATGTAGTTTCTATCATCTTGGTATTGCATTTGTCAACTTGGTTCTTGTGTACCAATACCATTCTTGTCTCTTACCTAATGTGCTTCTGGTGAATATATACCCCCCCAAAGAAAAAGAACATGAAGAAATTACTTGTTCATCACATTGAGCATTTAAAGTACATGTATGCACATAGGCTTTTACAATACTTTGCTAAAAAATAATATGGCACTTTCCCAGAAAACCTTGTCTTTTATCCATCTTAGTTTATAGGGCAGCACTGAACAAATTGAAAGTTATTTCCTTTTGTCTGTCTCATTTCAGTTTTTGTGTGGTAAATTTCATGATTGTTAAGTTCATGAACTTTATTTGTTTTAGTTCTATTATACTGGGATTTGTGTTACGCACATAAGTACAAGGAAACTCTGAATTAAGTAACAGTTCAATGTATATACATCACTAATTTTCCCTTGGAGGGGTTTAATAGCCAACAGAAAGTGAAACATGTCCTATACAACCAAATCCAGTGGGGCAATAGTGAAGCATTTACTTAGCTAAAACATACATTTTTTACCAGTCTTGCAGGTTTGTGCACAAGGTGTCAAGTTAGCTTTAAAAAAAATCGCCAGAAAAAGCATCAACTTGTTTGGGTACCACAGTTGACATATGTAACAGGATAGGAAGCTTCCCCAGTATGTACATGTATTACAAATAAGAAAAAGCCAAACATTTCTACATAGTCATCTTGATGTTCTCCTCTGTCATTGCACTACATAAATGAAGGAAAAGTGAAAAATTGGACTTACTGTTGGTAGATACTAATGATGGGATTGAACATACAAGAACTGCACAGCAAGAAAGCAGTGGCACTGCATTAGAATGTTCAGCCTTGGTGTCCACTAGTCCATATGACCTCTTCTCCCGCCAACAGGTCCTTTTCTATAATCCACTGTGCATAATTGATGACATCACCTACAGCTTACATTTGTCTTGATCATCAACATAACAAAGAAGAGTAGAGAAGCTTACATCTTACTGCCTCAGGTAGCATGCCAGTAAAACAAACACAATGCATACAATAGAGGGATCTTAGCTAGCTTGGGCATCAACCCAGGGTATTGTGCACATGCACATTCTTCCATTTCATTGTCTTGTTTCCAAGCAAATAGCAAAGCTGTTACCTAAGAGAGTTTTCATGGTTTGGCTTAAGCAGTCCATCAATACTTTTCCTTTTTGTTGGGCAAGGTCCATTGTGTATCTTGTCTGTGTTCAATACTGGTGTTGCCTTGATAAAACCCAACAGGAACAACTGCACATGTATACATGTATGCATATGTAGTACCATACCCTTCACATTCATATCCTCAGAAAACTTTAAGCTACTATGAAGTCCAGCAACATTATTATGACTGACAAAATGATTATTTAAACTAAAGTTCTATGGATTAAACAGCAAGTCTAGATTTTTACAGAGTGGTGATTGGTTTTCTCATGATCATGGCTTGTGCAGTGCTTGTGTACTTGTAAACTTTCTGTCAGAGATAAGTGTATAATAGAGTTAAGTGTATGTACGGAAGTTGCAGTTAAAATCACACAGCATTCCTTGTACAGACCAACACAATTCTCCAGTAAGTTATATGGGTGTACTGGCAAAGGGCAAACCTTAGTTTCCAAATTTCATAAAAGTAAGTTTCAAATACTGCTCGGAATTTAGGCTTTGACTTCTAGACTTTAGACTTTTTCAAAATTTCCAGTAATTTTCATGCAAGTACACTTTTCTCAATTCCCGCCATATTCTATTGACTGGCAAGCACCCTTGTTAATAATTCAGCTGTTTTGCCCCATGCAAAGATGATTGTCCTCTAGTTGCCTAATCCAGCTCATTCTAAATCCATGTGTTGCATCTTCTGGCTGCATTGGATTCTATTGTGTACTACATTGATCTATTTGTCATTGTGGCCTTCATGCAAGCATCTTACAAGAAAGTCTGTGGTGAGTATAGTGAATGGTTAATCATGAGAACAACGCAGCAGGTCCTTTTGTACTTTGTAGTCATATTTGAGGTGAAAAGGGCATTTCCTTTCCTTGATAGATACCTGATTTAGTAGTTTCAGCATTGACAGTTTGGGGATACTGTCACTGCACATACAAGACTGAAAGTTATCAGAATTTGCCTGAAATACTATGGTGCAGCGGCCACAATACTACTTACACATGGATTTCCAACTAGTACCCAAGTTTAATGACCTTGCTTTCATGAGAAGAATTGTTGCATACAAAGTTAATAATGTATACATGTAACATGGTGTATATATAATGTAATCATTATAATGTAATTTTGGTTTCACTATTTCCGAAAACAACTTTTTGTAATTGTTAGCAAGAAATAATACACATGACCCATGGGGTTCTCTAACATACTGACTGTCGACTATGAGTATACCTGAACTTGTAGTAACAGGTGTACCAGATTCGGTCACTACGAGTACTATATATATATACTTGTAGAAAATGGAAGGGTTTTGTATTGAAAATTGAATATACTGACATCACTAATAACACAACAAATGCGCTGCTTGCAGTGGTGAGGACAGCCATCTACGAAATGATTATGTTCAAATAGTTTTGTTTTGTGTTTTTACTGTTAGAATTAAAATTGGTAATTGGCAAAATTTGAAATGCCCTGTCACCTGGTTGACTTAATGTACAATGAAAATGAAAAAAGACAATACTATAATACCAAGACAGCTTTGCATTTTGACTTGTGGCTTTTCATAATGGTTTAATCACATTGGTGTATCCAGCTGGGGGGGGAGTAGGAGGACAGTTTGCCTGCCTCAGGCCTTATTTTCAGTAAATGAAAGTGCCAAGTGAAGCAAAAAAGGAAAATAAATTATCAATTTGCCCCACCCCAATGCAGTTGATCAATCAGTTGTAATCAATGATCACTCATCCTATAAATAATAGTTGAATAATGAGAGTGAACAAGTTTTTCCACTTTCCATTTTTGAGAAATCTGGTACATGACATGTATTTTTTTAAAAGACACATTTGTCTGAAGCTGTTTATAAAAACCCAGTGGCTTGTAAAGCATCAAAGTGAACAAATTGTTTTGATTTCTTGATAGTTCTGATATGATGTTCTGATATATCATAATAGTTAATTTAGTACAGTTCATTAGGGCACATGGTATTCCTTACTTTCAACACTTAGTTGTGTAATTTTGTAATAATCAACGTGGCAGGGACTGCTCAGTGCACACAATACACAATACAATGTCAATGACAGTCCAGACTTTCAGAGAAATGCAGTATACATGTATATTGCAGAACTGGTATGGAGAATTAGAAAAGTTTGTCATCCCTTTGCCAACCTATGAGTTACCTCGTAGTGACATAGTACAAGATAACTCGTAGCTAGTGGAATAATCAACTCTATGTCATTTCCAGCTACAAATTATCTAGTAGATATTTTCTCCATAGAGTAATTAGAAATGAATGTACCATAACATATAGACAAAAAATACCTATTAAATATGTGTGGATGCGTACAACATTTGGCAAATGGGAACACACTGTGAAATTATGCACGGTAGTTAATGTATTAAATGATTTTCTTCAGTCATAACTTCAGAAAGGTTTATGCATGTCCATTTTAAATATGTAAATTCCCAAGTTGTAGACATCTGCATGCATCAGTTGATGCAAAGATCTGATCATGAAAACCTGAAGAATCATAAATCCTTTAGTAGTCTGTAATGTTTGTACATGTACAGTTCTTTGGGTGCTGGGTGGAGAAAAGTATGTAACCTTTCCTTACACATTTTTAAATACAGAAATGAAAACAATATTTACATTGTATTTCCTGTTGTATTGAAAATAATATCTGGAAACAAAATGAAGAAACTTTAAACACAAAAGCTCAATACACTGTACTTGTGCAAGACATCGAAAACAAAATCATTCAACATATAAATGCAGAGGCAAATTAAAAATCCATGCATTGACTCTTGATAAGAGCATGATGTACTTGTATGTACTCATTGAATAACCTCAAACAAGTTGTTGTTTCATGTAGACGTTGAATTGCAATAAAATATTTACATTGCTGGCACGGGCCCTTTAAATCTTGATAAAAGAAACAAAAGACGTGAACATTTACAAAGGTACATTCTATGCACATATTCCCTTAACATTAATTAACATTAATGTATTATTTGTGAGTCATGACATTTTATCTGTTATCACATAAGCATAAGTGGAACACAGAATAATGTAGAGTGTCTGTGTCCTGTATACCACAAGGCCGAAGGCAGAATGGTATGTGGGACACAGACGCATTACATTATTCCGTGTTCCATGGGTGTGAGCATGATACAGTTTATCTTCAAGGGAACGTACAGAAAAGATGTGCGCGCAAACGCCCAACCTTTTTATTAAGAGTAAATGTTGCAGCTGTCTGTTTTGCTTTTAGCGTAAAAATAGTGCAATGTGCGGAGTTAAAAAGTGCATTATGCGGGGTTTGATATGAACTGTCACACTGTTTGTTGCCATGGATCAACCAATCAGAATTGAGAATTCGAGTTTGCTTGAAGATAAAATGAAATTGTGTCTTTCTTTCATTGACTGACTCTTTAAAGTCCAACTTATGCAGAAATATAGTGGCATATTCATTATACATGTACTTAAAAGCAACAATTTAGCCACTACATTTGCACCCAGGTGGTAGTGATTCTATGTAAATACTAAACTAATTAAAAATCAACTAAAAACTGAATACAAAACCTGCTGTTGATTTTTGGGTACATGGAGCTAAAGAAAGTATGTGTTTGAGAAAACAGCTTTACTCGAAGTTGGTGCCCTTATTCATACATTTATTAGGTACAAAACTTGACGTAATGCAAACTTTCATCTCATTTCAGTTAAATTAGAAAAGAAATAGAGTACTGTTTCTTGTGTATTGTAACCTTCACATGGCCTTTGTGAAAAGTAGTTTTAAAAATTGCAAAGTAGAAAGAGGCCAATCAGAACGATTGTTATCTTTATTGTACAAGAAGGCACCAATTCTCAATGTTTATCCCTAAATAGAACAAAAAATTTGTTTCTGAATGAGACTTTTGATAAGGCCCACAGAGAAATAGTAATTAAATTAGCCACTGTAAGGTTTCTGTCAAATGGAATGTTTATCCTTGAACTGAAAGAATAAAGGACTGATAAGGTAGTGAGCTACAGGCATGATAAACTCGGAATTAAAACATTTGTATGTATCATAAAGAACATGCATGCACAGAAAATAACTGTTAACTGGTGTTGTTATCAATAATTTTTCATCATGTCAAATTACATTCTTGACAAGTCTAGTCTCAAGTCTCTTTTCCAAAGTCAAATTTGAAGTTATTCTGCTGGAAGTTGTCACATTCAAATCAGTGTTTTCCACGTCCTATGCCATTTTTAAGGCCCAGATGATGTTATAAGTAATATGATATTTGTACACTTTATCAAAGATGTGACCTTTGGTGCTTAGTAAACGGATCTGACTTCTGCGTATTTTGTTTCATTATGCTGATATTCCTAATGATAAAGCATTACCAGTAATATAATGAAAACAGACATGTTGCTTTTTGTAATTGAAAATCATAGATACATTATTTATTTCAACAACAGTTGGCAATGTAAAAAGTCAAATATTATGAGAGGAAAGCCTATGCTAAAGTCATTTTCTTCCAAGCTAAATCTCAATTTAAAATAAATGGCTACACAAGTCTGAGCCATCAATTCAACAACCCTGCTTGCAGCTTGCATGCAAGTGACTCTTTAATGACTTCATTAATTGAACATGTTAATAGTCATAGTAACAAGGAGACAAACAGGGAGATAGACAAGGATTACTGACTTATCCCAACTAGTCACGGTGATATTGATTACTTTAAATTGTTACTAGACACCGGATAAACCCATAGAGAGCTGATGATTGCTTTCTATCAATACTTTTCATAACAAAGGAGCTGATTAGAATGGGGAAAAAATGAGGGAGAGCCAGAAGAGGATCTTTGGTGCACTTTTCTGTGATGAGAAGGAATTTACATACAGCTTTGAGAAGTTGGTATTGATTTCCCCTGTGATATCTTGTTTGCACAATCATATATGTTGGTAGCTCAAATAATTATGCATGTTATAAATTCATCACATGAAGTACATGTTGTAACATGTAAAAGACATGTAGTATGAATTTGAGCTGTCCAGGTACTGTCAATGGTCTGGTTTACAAACTAATGGAAATGTTATGTTGTTTTCCGCACCAGTGCACAACTTCAGATCACATACTAGATACTGCAGAGAAGAAAAGGGCTTCGATAAACTGGTGAAAGAGTATGTTTTTAATATGTAACCATTTAAATGAATTACATATTGAGCAAGGGCCAATTAGTAATTAGCTTGGCAAAAAAGACAAATAGCTCTTGTTCAAGGTAGAAATTAAAAGACACAGCCCTACCGTGTATTTCTTGAACTGAGACAATGTTTGCCTGTGAGCCAAGCTACATCAAACACAACGTGGCCTATTGCAAGCATGCGAATAGGCATGTACTATGTACAATCATGCCATGTACATATACATGTACACTGTACGCGTAGGCGTTCTGCCGATGACGTCATCAAATCAACCTGGGAACATGAAGGACCACAAAGGGACTTTTTGTGGGCAGGGAAATGCAGGATCTTTTTTATTCATTTTGGGGTCACGCTTAATGTGGTACACATTGAATTTATGATGTTTTTGAAATGGTTATGTATTTTTTTTATTGTCATTCTGAAATACCTCAGGTGAACTAAATGTTTTCAATTTCTGTTAACCCTTAAGTGAGTCTGTATTAGCCTCAAAATTTATCAAAGTAATTTTTTGAAATATGAAATAAGTTGTAAATTCAATTTTTTGTAAAAATTGGCTCAATTTAGCCTTGGGCTACAAGTCATATTTCAAATAAACAGATAATTCAATTTAAATTCAATTCATACGAATATTCAGTTTGATTTGATATATAGTTCCTGATAGATACATGTGGAAAACTTTTACTATGGTTGAGTCAAATCAAATAATTCAGCATGCAAGTATTCAACTTTCCATTTAATTGGATCGAGTATTGAAATATTTGGTCATATTAGACAGCAGACCCTTGATACAATGTAGGAGCTGAAAGCACTTTTAATTAATGAGAAACACAATTTGCCCTTTGAGACTTTGTTTAATTTTTTTACGAAAAGTACACTTTAGTTCAGTGATTACAGATATTCTGCTACTCCAGTAACACTTCACTGTACCAAACACGGCTACATGTGTTTACTGATCAGTCGGGTATACTAAATGTGTCCCTTAGCTCTGAAAATTCTGTGCACTGTGATTGAACATTGTACTTTAAACAAAAGAAACATATTCAGGACAGATGATAATTCCTCAAAAGGTCTTACAGAAAGGATTTTGAAAATACCTTGTTTTGTTCTTAACAAGTAAAATGATGTCAACATCATCAAGACATACCATATGTAACATATCCTGATTTGGATCCATGGAAAGACTTGACCAACTTGGACATACAGCTTTGCAGGCATGTCACATGCCTGTCATTGTGACATGATTCACTGTGCACTGTACATCTTGGTGGTCCATGTACATAAGGCCCAAAGTGGGGCATAGAGTAAAAACATCCTGTGGGTTTGGGGTGGAGAAAAATGCAAATATAAACCTGTCTGTTTTCATTATACTGTTAATTTATTATTGGAAATATTAGCACATGATGATTGAAAAATAAGGCATATCAATCAGACCTATATTGCAAACCATCACAGGTCATGCCATCAATATAGGGTGCTTGAGAATCTGTACGGGCTCCATTTTGATTATGATTTCGTATGGACTTGAAAAGAAATTGACTTGGGACTTGACTCTGGGAAAAATTGACTTTCTAACAGAACTTGTAGAAGAATGACTGGGTTACAGCACCATTAATTGACTACAAATGTATGAATGATTTTCAAACTAATGTATGGAGAAAATGGCTCTTTCATTTGAATACTGTTAATATTAATTGATTTGATTACAGATGGCAAGGTTTGAGTTTAAAACAAAGACGATAAGCAAGCTTTGTGGAGGTCCCCGTATGGGATGTGTGTTCTTAGGTGCAACCATTTTCTTCCTATCTGCAGTTAGAGGACGCAGGTTAGTTAACAAGAATGAACATGTATGTGTGCCACGTAATAAAAACACTTGTTTCTGTATACGGGAATGGATAGGTGCTACCGTAGACAGGCAGTTGTGGGGCTGGTTTCGATTTTTCCCCCTTATAATCGAGAAAATTGTGTCATACCATTGATGAAGAAGAGTCCAACAATAAAAGACATTACATTCTGCATGCAAATTGTTTGCTATTAAACACAGCCAAAAAGTTATCTAAACCCTAAAATGATGAAAGGACTTCATAGTCTGGTGCCCTTAACTGTATTAAAAGAGTCTGGTTAAGTTCCCTGTAGTTGGGAAATTTCTGGAAGTTTTCCAGCTGAAAACCCACCCTGTAACAACCAACTACCTGGCATGGTCCATCAGGAATGATTACAGAATAACTTCCTGAACAGTAGTAACTATGATCATTTGAGAATTTATTTAACTCACATTCACATTGAAGCAGCTTCCAGTTTTACAAAAGTATTAAGTGCTTGTTTGATACACTATTTTTGTTACATGTAGTTTTTGTTATAAACTTCATGTATAAAGCAGGCTTTTTGGGACCTGTACAAATAATGCAATTTATGCATGTCTTGCTTACTCATGTAACCCGAGTGCCCATTTGTATTAGACTAAAGGTTTCACCCACATACACATGTATATATGCAGAACTTCTTGCACTTTTCAGTCTGAAAGAAAAAAGTGTTAGATATAAGTTATATACATCTAATTTGAAGTTGTACTGTTATGAGTTATTTAATGGTGTTTGGTTTTATGAATTGAAAGTTTGATGAGGATCTTTCTAAATCATCCCTATGCCACCACTTTGCAGGAGTGCACATGTATGTAAATTTTCCAGAAATTTCTGTGATAAAATTGATACATGTGTGTGCTTTCAATCATAATTGATTGAAACAAAATTGTAAACATTTTGGACATTAACATGAATATATATTATAAGCATCTATTGATTAAACACTTTGGCTATAATGCATAATTACATCTTGTTACAATTGAAGCATTTAAAATGTTGAACGTGATATCCGTTTAATCATCTGCTATACAATCATTCAGTTAATGCTAGCTGTGTTTGTGTTTGTCCTGTAATACAGGTATCAGTTGGTGTTATATCATCAGCCAGTATGGACTGCCTTTCAGACACCTCTGGTTCATTATGTTGGAGTTGCCATCACTGCTTTGGGGTTGATCTTCACTCTTTCCAGCTTTTTTACCCTTGGATTTTATGGAACTTTTTTAGGTATGTAATAAACCTGGTATTGAATCCTGTACAGAATGTTTATGCATGTTGCCCAAGCCAGAGATGCCATTCTTCCAATTTTGTCTGGATTTCTATCATCCCTCCGGTCTGGTTTTTCTTCTGGCTTAAAAAAAAAGACCAAAAAGAAAACACAAATGGGAATACATGTAGGTTGGTTTTCACCATGATTGCATCTCCAGATTTAAAATGTTTGGGCAATGCACGTCAGTGCATGCATGTAAAGTTTTTCCTTCAGTGGCCTTAAAACAAGGCTGTATAGGTCCCATTTTCGAGGTTGCATGTAATGCGGCATGCATGGCTTGTGCCATCCTGCAAGCTGCATGTACTATTGTCGAAACTCAACAGGAGTTCTAGGTGTACATGTACTTTGTGCTGGGAGTTCAATAGGAGTCCCAGCAGCATGCATCCATATACCAAATACTCTATACAGTGAAATGTCTGAACACATGCATCATGTGAGTTCTACTGCATGTGGGCAGTTAGCATGCGCAGCACATCTATCACATGCCTTGAATTCAGGACTACCTTGTTAGTCGATGTTCCTGATTGCAGTGATTGTGTGGATGGAAAAATGTGAAGAACTGGCCGGGAACCAACCAAGCATCATCTTGCAAATGCCATGTCGCAGGATGAGCATTCTACAACATGCATGTTTTCGATTGTAAATCTTACATATAAGGTTAGAAATTCAGTCAAAATGTGGAAAATTTTGAATTTTAGAAAGAACCGGTACTTATTATGTGTTTATTTTAAAAGCAAAAGAATCAAGGGTGAAAAACAAGCAGAACTGAACATGGCTTCAGGAAATTTATGACAGCGGTGACTGTCTGTCAAACTACCTTTGGAAAAATAGAGGAGTCAGGTTGGTGTAGTGGCTCTTTCATCACCTTCCACCTCTGCAACTTGGGTTTGAATTCCTCTTTGGTTAGAATTTACATGGGCATTTACTAGTACATGTACATCAGTGACATAGCTAGGATTTTACTAGTGGAACGGCACAAAGGGGGCAAAAGCATATTATGGGGGGCACCAGCTTTCAGTGGTGTGGATTTTGGGGGCAAGTTTTTGTTAGCCTTGTTCGATAGCCATTCATTCTTTTTTTTTTCAGTGGGGGGAGGGGCACCTGGGAGGGACACTTGGAAGGGACCTGGGAATGGGGGGGCATGTGCCCTCCCCCGCTACGCCACTGAAGTACATTTACTTGCATGAAATAGGGTTATATATATTATTCTATGGGATGGTGACAGGAGAGCGATCTGAAATGCATAGTAGAAAAGAGAAAAATCTAGGAGTTGGAATCCTGCTCATAGTGCGCTGCAATTTCTATACATTTGTCACAATCTAATAAAGTTGAGGTTTTTCAAACAAACATGGCATCTCTTGTCCAGAATGTTTCTGAAATAACATCCTGAAGTCCTGTTAATTGGGAAAAAATATTTTCTGAATGTTATAAGAATGGTGAAATGTGACTTTGCATTATGTTAGAGATCAGAATATGCATGTGCACTGGTTCGGTGAGGATGCTCCAAGGAATTGTGACTTTGTCATTTCAATATTGACAATTTGACTTTGTTGTAGCAGCCTGGGGGGAAGGGAGAGGGGAACAATTTCTGTTGCAACTGATATGTGTGTTTTCCTTGCCACTCTTAACCTCTCCAAGGAAGAAGTTTCATTTTAACACACCTCTTGTTTGTTGTTTATCATACTTGATCAAACCACTGACGCGGGGGTTCACCATAGAGCTATGTTAAGATACTAGTGTACTCATTCATTATTCCCCATGGGGAAGGTTTTGACTGGCTGGATGCAGACATTTTGAATTCATGGGTGTATTTGAAGAGTGTAATAAAATAAGATTGAATGAATTCCGAATTGTATACTCTGAATACAGTGCACAATTAAGTACAACATCTGTAAATAGCATATAGCCTATTTTTGTCATTCATTTTAATGTCTGCATTGCATACTCGCTAATGCATGCATAGCGCTAAAAGCAGTATAACTCCAAGTTTTCTACAGGTTTGTACACAAAAATGAGTGTGTCCAGTATGCTTCACTTTGCACAGTAAGTTTTAGTACTCTAGTTATTTCATGTACATGTAGCTCCATGGGACCCTCTACTAAAGGCTTGTGCATGAAATCTGTTTCAGTGTCAACTGTGTGAACTACAGTGTAGATGTACCTCAATATATCACATATATCAGACACTGATATTTCAATTGGTGACTTGTGAAGCTTCCTCAGGTATATAACTCTGCAATATATTTTTTATATTTTGGAGAGAGGTGTGTGTGTCATGCCCCCTACATGTAGGTCTGTGAGTGACCAGAAGAGGGTCCTGCCTCAGGAAATAGGGTTCTCTTCTGGTTACAGTCCATGTGTGCAGAGACGTGCACTAGTGACTTCATTGCCAGCCCATATGTGTATATTATGACCTGCCTAATTCCATTTATTTTTGAATGAACCCTTCTCACTTCAAAATTTTAATTGTCAGTTGTCAACCAGTAGAATATTTACTTAATTAATAGAAACAGTTCTATCTATTTCAAGAGTGGTTAAGACATGTTCACTATTAAGCAAGAGGTCATGGGTTCGAGCCCACCTCAGTAAGCTTATGAATTTGTTCGCAAGCTTTCGGACAAGCGCTGAGTATACAGTGTTTTTAAAAATGTTTGTCAGGTAAGGGCAAACCTGTAATTAAAATTAGTCCTATCTATTTAAAATGCGCAAAGATCATTCAATTTTGATTGTGCGGGAATAATATTTTGACATGATTACAATTGAATTCATTCCTATGATGTGTAGAGGAAAATAAATAAACAGAGAAGACCCTTGAAAATACACAGGGAGACAAATACAATATTTACATTCATGTTGTATGCATCTACCCAGTACAGTATACCAGCCTCCTTGAGAGGGTTAGTTGCAGCCATTTCTTTTGTGTACCGCCAAGTATGGCAGTTTTGAGCTGGTACCAATGCAGAGTAGATAAACTGTCTGGTCTTATATTTTGTCATCCAATGAGGATTTTGGCCATATTCTTGACCCTTTTCCTCAGTTTTACCCTCTATGAATATTGCTTATACATTATACTTCCATGCAATCCTCTGGCCTCATGTCCAAATGACATAGTTTTCTTCTACGAATGTTAGTTAGGAGATGCTCCAGAACAGAGATGCCACTTTAGATAATATGGCTCATTTGATCTGTTCTCCATTCATGAGACTTGTAATATGTATCACAGAGACAAATTTCACAAGAGATCATTCTCTGAGTGTCCACATTTCTGATTTTCCATCCTCAGTTACATTCAAGATGATTCTTTTATATATTTGAAATAATACAGGTGACTATTTTGGCATTGTGATGGAGCATCGTGTTACTGGTTTTCCTTTTAATTTGATGGAAAATCCAATGTACTGGGGAACAACTATGGAATACCTTGGATATGCCCTGTGGTAAGTTATTTTACAAATGTGACCTGTCACGTCAAAATGAGCATAAAGTTGCATCCTGCTCTTTTCTTTTTTGAGGGTTCAAAGTCATTTTGAAGTGGAGGTCAATTTTCGGGTTTTGTAATGTTTGATTAGAGTAACCCATCTCCTATTTAATTCCAATATTTTGCAGGATCATATATTTTAAAATGTTTTTTTCATTTGTCATTTTCTCAACAATTTTGATGATAGCATTATTGGTTCCTGGTCAGAAATGTTGAAATAATGCCGGGGACAAAGATGCAAAGCTGCCAGAATAATGTCACATTGTCATATTATTCTCCCCCCAAGTGTTCCATGTACATGTACATACCATTGGAAAGCTCTCTTTCTGCTGAATTAACAAATACCAATATCTCAAGTTTGAAAATTCTAACTTTTAGCTCATGTTGTAGTGACAGGTCACAAATATTACATGGTTTCAGGGTGTATAGTTGATTTCAGCTCCCTAAGGTATTTGAAGTTGACAAATTAGTCCCCAAGGTGAAACTGTTGTGGAGTACCTTTCATTGTCCATGTCTTCTAAGATCTAATTACCAGAAATTCCTTTTCAAATAGTGCTCTCTTTTTTTTAACTAATCTGTGTCGCATGGATTGATCCATCAAGGCCTTTGAAAAGCTGAAGAATTGATCAATTTTGTAATGAATTGTGTTCAGCTTTTCACGATATTAAACGGTCTCATCCAGATACCATGATCATCATGATCATCATTATTGAAGATGTTAATCATGCTTCATTAAAGAAGACTTGTATCTAGTATCACCAACATGTGGTGGATATTCAAATGGATCCAAGATACATTACTTGGATGATATGCAAATCAGTTAAATCAATTTTATAACCGTTTTGATCAGTGTGGAGTGATTAGTAAGGATAATGATCAAGTATATTAAAATCAGTTGCAACAATTTGTCAACTACTGGCTTCGAATTATCTTAAGTTTATGATATGTTTTATCAGTTAATAATCAAATTATTTATAGGTAGCAAATTTGGCAATAGATTGTGCCCTATGTTCATTTAAGGTGTTTGGTAGAAGGGATAACATTGCTGTGGAGAGTAGCTTCCTGTTACACTCCATTTTGATTATATGCACATGTACAGGTACATAATTATACTTGGATTTGGAGGCATTTTATACACAGAAACGCATTGAAAATTTTGGGAATTTGAAATTTGGCATCTTCTCATCAAGAAACAGCCAATCAGGGGCCACGAAATGTTAACCAATGGCGAAGACAGCTTGGAGGGGCAACCATCCAATTAGAGAATTTGCCCTTGGATATTTGGCAAAGCCTGGCCAGAGGCCAATGAGAAGTTGGGTTAGTTCTCTTCTCTTTTGAGGTTGAAACTTTGGGCGGAAAGGAAAAGTTGTTGTGTTATTACTTTTGTCTTAGCCTACGAAGGAACAATATCTACACTCAGATTCTTCGACAAACCTTTATCTACACCTCCCCCTCCTTCACCTTGAATTTTAAAGTAGATACAACACTCCATGGTTTATGAACAATTTGTTACTCTTGACATTATGAAATTGTAAATAATATTTAGTTTAGATAAAGTTCATTGTGATGCATTTCAGGGTTTGTAAGTTACTCAATTGAGTAGCTAGTGTATAATGGTTGCTGTAACCATGTCTTCCCTTGAGTAAGTGCAACAGGGGAGGATGAACCATTCTTTCTTCTGTAAGTGCAAATGACGAAAGAATGGCATCTAGAAACTCATTTGTTGACACTGTATATGTATACAATAATTATTACAGCTTGGTTAAGTTATGAAGTGTTCTGGCACTGTCCTAACGAATTGTCCCTTTGGCCTATCATAAGGTCATTGTCATTGAGCTGTGGTGCTCCAAGTCAAATGGTGCTTGGAGCTGTTGATGCTCTTTGGCCTTGGTGGAAGCCCAAACAGTGAATAATGAAAAACATGGCATTGGTGGTCAAATGATGCTCGAAAATATGGGCACTTTGGGCCTTTGTGGGTGCTCAAATGATAGAATGGACACTCCATAACTCGGTATCTATTACTCCCCCTGAACCTGCAGGATTGTGCTCCTGCTGGAGGCAAAGTTGCTTATCATATATTTGCCAGCCGAGCCCAAGGTTTCAGGGGCATGCTGTAGATGTTTTGACATATACCACTATTTCTGTGTTTGAGTGAAGTTTATTTTGTCGGCTTATAATGTCTCAAACACAAAAGAATTGGTTATAGATTATAGGAAGTCACATCACCAAATTCAAAGGTGGTGTGTTTAAATCCAGTACTGATCGTCACATGCGTTTAAATGCATGCACACTCATTACGTTTCCTGGCTCCCTTTCAATTGCTGTTCAATTTCAGGATGATTTACCTATAGAGGACTGTCTATAAAGTTACCTGAAATGTTTTGCAATTAACTTAGCCGCAGAAATTGATGGCAAGAAAACCAAACAATGCCTAAAAACACTCTGTGGTGTATGAAGTAACAACTTTGCAGCAGGAATCTTAAAATCATTTCTGTCAGAAAATGAAAAACTGGAAACCATTGAGAATCTTGAGCCAAGTACGCTGACTAAGCTACAGTGGTAGGGTTATCTGGATGTAAGGTCAACTGAAAGTGCATTCTGCAAAGCAGGTACTCTTGAGCAAACATAGCATAAATCAATATTCATGAATACCTCCGACAGTTTCTCAATTTAACATTTGATAATGCCAATATATATCACGTGCTGACACCTGGATACAAGACAGTTTAATAAATTCTGATTGGTCATGAGTCTGTGTGCATGCGGCTCACCACACATGTGCCTAGTCTATAATAAGACGATTCTTTTGCACATCTTGCACAAGGAATATACCATAAAATGGACGGGGGTGTTTGGGAAAATGAAAGTAAAATTCTAGAACACAAGTGTTGGAAATCCATCATATATTGACCTCTTCTGACTGTGACTAGAAAAGCTATTTATGAATGGGAATAAATATGTGCTTGGCCAGTCTTAAAATTAGTTTAAGACCAGCTAAGGAGACTGAATGCTGATAATGCTCTCGCCTACAGCTCAGGCAGTGATTGTGTTCATTCTCCTGAGCTGGTCTTGAACACATATTTGAGACCGGCCAAGCACATATTTATTTCCTTATCTAAAGACACTACCATTCAACAATAAATTCATCGATGGCAAAGAGTCCTTTCAGGCTGCACTGCATCTGTGTTTCTGTGTTTTGATGTGCGCATGTTTCATTTTATTTCTTTCTTTCATTTTCAAGTTCAGTGCGCATAGGCCCTTATATCATCTTTACTGCTTGTTGAGTTTATTTGAAGATAAATTCAGAACAATGTAGTGTGTCTGTGTTCCACTTGCACTTCTGTGATAACTAAACTGATATATATTTTACATACCGCTTAAGGAATTTGAATAGTTTTAATTGCTTTTATATCTTTTGCTTATATAATGTTTACTGTTTTTGTATGCGAGCATTTTAATAACTCTTTATTCTTGACTTCACTTGAGTTTAAAACCTGTCTGAAGGAGTTTATAATGAGGTCTTACAGTTATATAATCTCCTTGTTTGATGGTCTGGGTAGCCAGGGGAGGGGCAATAGTAATGACAACTTAAGTTTGTACTTGTTTTTTCCCAAATACATATAGATGTTAAATAAAGGGATTGCCAACAATCTGGTCTTTATACACTTACATGTATCCGATGAGTGGTGACCAGCATTAGAGGGTATACTTTGGAGATGTACTATAGTTACCTGTAGGTCATTACATGTAGTAGGTAACAATGCCTCTTCAACCAGTAAAGCAGTGTGACTCTCTAAATGAATGTAAATCTCATATTGTAGAATGCATACAACTTTACAGAGCTCTGGGAAAAAACAATTAGACCACCATCATATTTGTCACTTTATGCCACTCAGAGGGTATCGGTGACCCTGATATAAGCTTGGTTCTACATATTCTCATCATTTGCTGTGAATACAGTGAGAAAAAAGGAAAAGTAACATCTGTAAATATTTTAACTTCCTAAAATGTGGTATTGGGACCTGAAAGCAGTAGTACTGAAGTTACATCACTTTACCATTTTACCAACTAAAACAACAGCTAAAAGCTAAAACAAAAAAAATTTTTTAGTGAAGAAACAAAACTAATTGCTGTTAACTCTTTTTTACCAAAATGAATAGTGTCTGGACATGCATGCAATAGTCTGTCAGATATAAGAATTTGGTGGCATAGCCTTTTCTCTTGATGACAGCACTGTTGTGCCTCGGCATGCATGCTCTCCACTAGCCTCTGACATTCTTCAGCAGAATAAGGATCGAGTTCTTGCTTGCTTTGCTCAGCTTTTTAGTTTTTGGCATGATTAATTGATAGATCATTTATTCCTGGCAACTGCTTCACATCGTCACGATGTTTTAAAGTGATTTTTAATGATGTTTGCTTAATTTAAATGACATTTGGATTCTGTGCTGATTCGATCGGTTTGAAAAATAATCATAAAAGGAGACTACTGACGTCACCGAAATGAGACACACATGTACATGTAGGTAGTAAGGCACGATGTCCACTGCTGGCCGGTTTCTCTACAGGCCAGCCCCTTTCTGGCCGTAGCTATAATTCCCTTCTACCAGCGAGGCTACCGGCCGAACCTGTGCTTAAAGGCTTTACTGCCTGGAGATTCTTTGTGTGTCTGCTTTCTAGTAGTAGTCAACTGCTGATGAACAACACAGTGGGGTTTCTTTAATCGGCTTAATCCTACCCAGCCAAACAATGCAACTTAGTGACCCATAGCAGACAAAGGCCTGGCATCTACTTCACGTGGAGTGTTATGGCTGAGTGGTCTTCCAGAAATTTTCTTTTCTTCTCAATTGACTTGAGCTGCTTTATATTTACTGTGATCAAGAAATATTTCAATAGGTATTTAACTTTAATCTTCAACAGATGTCAAAATTTACTTTTAAGAGTAGAGCTGTTGAAATTCCAAATATTATTTCAACTCATGGTCAAAAAGAAAACACCACACGGTCAAATATACTGGAAGACGAAAGACCCTTCATGTAGATTTCCAAGTTTTGTGGGCCCAAATCAGTTTTTGGGGTTGTTCAGCCTACAGCGTAGAGCATAATGGTGAATTTTACCTTTTTGGACCTAAATTAAGTATGGAAGTGTGAACTGTTACCAGACTTGAAGCAAAATGTCACGACACCACGCTCCACCACATACTGAAGACAAAAGACCCTTCATGTAGATTTCTAAGTTTTGTGGGCCAAAATCACTTTTTGGGGTTGTTCAACCTGTTCAGAGCATGTTACTCAAGTCTTAATACCCTTATGGACTTAAAACTAGGACAGAACATTCTGAGCATAGTAAATTTTCCACTTCGTTGAATTCGTCCTTTGTTAAAAACCATTTTTCCAATCATTACCTTTGGCCCATTATTACACATGGGTGGCTTCTCCTTGAAAAGTTACTCTTCCAGATATCTTGTTTTTGGGGGGTTTTTTTTGTAAAAAGGGGAGGACTACGGAAAACAAGCCACCACAGCAATGGTGGAGCTACAATCCACAGGGCATGTTGAGTGCACTTGCGACCATGTACCGTGCATGAAAACCTCGCAGGACTGCAGTAAGCCTGCCTTTAGCATGCAATGTAAGTGCGTGCAAGCTGGTATCATTTTGTCATTTGCAAAAACAAACAAATGGCGTATGTCGATTTCATTCTCAAGTTTGAGACTGTGATGCAGATTTGCAAATAATGGCTCCCTTGTATAAAGCACACACACAAAAAATGTTGCCTAAACTAAAGTCGTGAGTTTCAAGTATTATGCAACCTGTACTTTTACCTATTCCTTCATGCTTTCATTCAAAGTATACACCACTCCAAGCAAGTAATTTAGTTTGTTAATGCAGTTGACACTGATCCACTTAAATTCTCACTATTCATCAGTGGAGGGCCTGGGAAGTAAACTCTCAATTCAGCATTTTTGAAATACTGACGGGCCAGACCGGCCCATACAAGCCGAGAAAGGCAGTAATACAGGCCTAGGATCATACTGGCCACAAAACGGGCGAGCAGTCTCGGCCTGTAGAGATACTAACCGGCAGTGGGCACCATGCCTAAGTCAATAAATTGTTACCATTGGAAGTTCTGAACTATATTAGTTATCAATAATTTGCGTATGCAGTAAAATGGGTTTGATGTATTTGTGAAAAGTGACAAAAACATTAGCGGTATTATAATATCTTCCATTGCTGTGATACCACAGCTTCAGTGGCATCTCCTTTGATTAGCCTAACTCGTCCGTGGAGGAATTATTTGGAATTGAATTTCGAATGATGTTTGTATATGTAAATTTTCAAAAATGAGGTTTGGCGCAAAGAATTAAAATCAGTCCTCAAATTTTTAATATTCTTTTTTTGCTTTTAGGTATGGTCCAAGTCCAGCTGGTTTACTACTCACTGTGCTGCTAGCAATATGCTATAAAATTGCCATTGTAATTGAAGGGCCTCATACGGATGAAGTATATCCTGAACATGATAAAATTGAGGACAAAAAGCATCAGTGAATTTTATGTTGACCTAGAATCCATGAGGCTCCATTCCCTTGACGAGAATCCTCTGCATAATCCTGGTGGGTATATAACTGCACTTGTCTTGACCAGGGAAATGTGGGTTAGTTTTGCATATAGGTCATTCCATGTCAAATCAACACTTTTGGACATCGATCTTGCGGTTTCTTGCAATTTGCTAGGATTGTTTGGTCACGAGAAACCCCCAAATTTATATATTAATGTTTTTGATCAAGTGGTTTGTAATTTGACCTTCAAAATTCTCACCATAACTCCTAATGCCTATATCAGCAGTTTGAAAGGCCAGATGGAGATGATTTTATCATAAATCAAAGCCCACAAGCTAATAAATTGCTTGTTCTTAAATAAGATTGCAAAATTTAGAATTTTAGCATGAGATCAGGCAACATGAAGTTGACCCTGGCAGGTCAAATATAATTCAAAGATAACTTGGCAGTCCCGGTTTAATATTTGACATATCATCAGATGGTGTATACTACCTTTAATTTAAGTTACTAATAATCTCCATCTGCTTTTCCTGAATGGAAATAAGGGCATTCAAAGTGCTGATACAAAAATTGGAAGGCCAGAAACCCGTAACTCACAAACTATTTAACCCAAATGGTAATATACCGGTTACTTTGGGGTTTTTCTCATATGACCCAACATTCCCAGAAAATGTCAGGAAGATCTGTGAGATTGATGTCTGATGACCAGTACTACAGATAATGGATTGAGTGAATAATACATTGGATCAATGTTAATATGGAAATAAATATATGCTTAGTCAGTCTTTAACACAGGTTTAAGACCAGCTGAGGAGAGTGGATGCTGATAATGAGGGACATTGTCAGCGTCTCTGGAGCCTGTCTAAAATGTCATTTTAAGAACGGCCAACTACAGATTTATTCCCATTCATAAATATCATTTGTGTCAGAAAGTAAAAAAAAAAATAAAATGTCAGAAATTGAACAATTTCATTCAACACTTTGACTTAATTTTTTTCCAAACACTCCTCCAGCCATGGCACAGTATGTGCCTCTTGCATACATGTAGTCAAAACAGTCTCTTCATATGGAGATTGGCACATGCAAAAGTGAACCAGTGTCATGTGATTTATGGATTCACAAATGCAAAGTCATATGTAGTATTTCTCAAAGACAATACACTTGCTCAAGTGTAAATTGTGAACGTTCAGCCAATACAAGGGAAAGGGACCAGATATCATACGAGTCCTTAATTTCATGTGACAGTGGAAAAATGTTATCAGCCAGCTGGTGCTTTATCAACCAGTTAAGACTGACCAAGTGACTGGCTCTTGACAAATAGGAATGGCTGAACTGACCTAGGTATTTAAAAATTAAGAGTTTGTATTGACAAAAGGTTGTGAAAACAACAAGAGTTGAGTCCTGTTTTTTTTCAGGAACTTGGTTAAATTGAAAAAGTTGGAATTCCATAGTGTGTCTGCAAACTCCATACATCCTAGTGTTGTCGTTCAGTCTGTCATAAGTCTTCCAAAATTCAACACAAGTACATGAATTGTAATCTGCAGTTGTATGCTATTAGGCCATTTACATCCTCATAAATTAAATCACTTGTTAAAATTGCAGTTTTCATATTCAGATGATTAAAAATCACTAATTTAGATCATATGTAAAAAACATGCAAAAGTGTTGTTATTCCACCCCCCATATTTTTTTCAACTGATGTACATGTACCTGTGTTAAGCCATGTTTCCATATATAGTCGTAATGAATGCCAATGGCACACAAGATGTCAAGACGTAAACAAGTGTGGAAGAGACGGTGTGTGATGTCATTCCACGAAGAAAATTAAAGAAAACAAAAATATTAATTTAAAAATATTAATTTTAGTATTAGTGATTGGTATTTAGGTGGCAATTTTAGGTGGCAATACCACATCTTGGACATGTATATTTGGTCCCTGGCCTAGGTTGGACGCCAGTCTTCATTGCATTACGACTCACGTCCAAGTTCTAAGACTGGTGTGCTGCTTCTTTCTGTTTTTGGCTTTTTCACAATTTTGCGAAAAAGGTTGTCTTTTTGTCTAGATTTTTTTTGTCTTCTCCAATAGGGCATGGGATTTTGTACATGTTTCTTCCACCGTCGACTTTAGTGCCTTTGCTGCGTTAGATCTTAATCAAACTTTCACCATTGAAGGACCTTTATACATGCAATTGTCTAAAAGAATGACAGCATGATGACGTCAGTAACTAATGTATTATTGATTTTATATTTATTTTTCAGCCCATTGACTTTGTACACGTTTTCAAGGCAACATTTTTATAATGTAGCGATCTTCAATCATCCTGAAAGTTACATGCAGCAAAGAAAATAAAGCAAAGATAATACAAAAATAATCAGGTCATGATGATGTCATCAAGTAATTTATTATTAAATTTGGGATATTTAAATAATTAATTAATTAATTAAATTAAATAATTAATGTTGTAAAAATCTATATAAAATCAACCGTGGCCTCCCGCTACATTCTGTTTGTGGCAAGTGGCAGAGAAAAATTTGGTCTTTGATGCGTCTTGTGTGCGTCAAATCACATGAACCTTCCTTCCGCTTGAAACCGGAAGTGGGCTTATAGTTTAAAAGTGGTAGTAGGTATTAAGTTGTTTTCAACGGTATTAGTCTGAACTTCGTTGGGGCATGGTGTTCTTCAAATCATCTGCTGATGATGTCATGCAATTGTCCAGCACCCTCTAGCGACAGGTTTAAAATTTGTCCAAATCGCCCAAAAACTGATGTGGATGATAGCCTTTACTCAGTTAACACGTGTGAAATTTGGTGCTTATTACGTCATCATACTGGAAGTTATAATAAAAAGTATTTTTTAAGCATGTGGCGTTAGTGCTGATTGCATTGTATGGAACACAAAAAGGGATGTTTAAAATCTCTAATCTGTGCTCTTTCCGCGATAACAATAAAGTTTTCAATTGTATTTTGTATTGTATGTGTCTGATTGGGTTGAAACCTCGCAGATAGTTAGGAAAGGAAAGTTTGTACACGGAGATTCACCTCATGTGGTGACAATGTGATCAGCAGACAAATCACTTGACTTTAAAATACTATATCTCCTGAAGTGCGATTGGGTTGAAACTTGGCAGGTATTTAGAAAGGGAAGCATTATAGACGGACTTGACCTTATGTGATAATGACATCATCAAATGATCATGTCAGGTGACATTAAAGGGGCACTCTTTCAAGCACTATTTCTCTTGAAGTGCATGTGTGATTAGGTTGAAACCTTGCTGATATCTTGAAAAGGAAGTGCTTTAGGCAAATATTGACCTTATGTGATGGTGACGTCATCAAATGACAAGCCATGTGACATTAAAGATGCACTGTTTAAAACTCTATCTCTCCTGAAGTATATGTCCAATTGGGTTCAAACCTTACAGATATCTTAGAAGGAGTGCTTTACACAAAAATGACCTGATGTGCTGATGACGTCATCATGTGACAAGTCACTTGACATTAAATGTGCACTCATAGCACCATATCTCTTAAAGTACATGTCCAATTGGGTGGACACCTGGAAGATATCTTGACAGGGGAGTGCTTTAGACGAGTATTGACCTGATGTGATGATGATGACGTCATCACGTGACAAGTCAGGTAACATTGAAGGTGTACCGTTCAAAGCCCTGTATTTCCTGAAGTACCTGTTCCATTGGGTTGAAGCTTTGCAGATAATTAGAAAGGAAAGTGTCATTTCACGTGTCACTTGATACAAGTCACCCGATATTATTGGGGCACTCTTTACAACCCTGTATCTCCTGAAGTACATGTTCCATCGTTTTGAAACTTTGCATAGAAAGGGAAATGTTATAGATGAATATTGACCTGATACGATGATGATGTTATCAGCAGACAAGCCACGGGACATTAAACGTGCACTCCTTTATGCCCAATATCTCCTGAAGTACGTCTGCCATTGGGTTGAAACCTTGTGGATAGCTTGAGAGAAATAGACATGTAATGCTATCGTTACAAGGTTCATGTAGTTGATCCGTCGATCAAAGTAAAAACAACAGAGTGCGAGAAAGTCCTCTGTTCTGTTGGCAAACAGACAAACGACCTCTAGTTTTTATTCCTCTTTTTTCCACTTTCCCCCATAGACATAACATGGGGTCTTTCTACACTCGACTTTTGCCCCTTCCTTATGGCCGGTCCCCTTCAAACCTGGCACACTATTAGACTACTATCTGAAAATGTTCATAGGAGCATGACGTCATCTTGAGTCATCACCTTATTCATTGTAGAATTTTGAAAGTTTATTTTTCCCCGATATGTATTGTACACGTTTGTGAAAGCCCTTTTGGTCCACTTGGTTATCTTGCAACTTAGTTAAACAAACAAAAGCCTAAGGGCTGGTTGATACTCGCTGCGTTTGCACACATGGAGCGCGTAATGTGAACGCCGCATTTGACGTCCACACTTTCATCTTTTCTCAAGTCTCGGCTGCGTTCTTGTGTATCCGATAAAAGTTTTAAAAATCAATTTGTCCGAATACGCATATATTTGGTGCGTACACACTATCCATTATTTTCACAAACTGCGTACAAGGCTGTGCATTTCATTATGCACTACACTTTCCTTCACGCAGTGCAGACACCTCAATGTAGACTTTCGTGCTGCGTTCATAGTAAATACAGCCTTCAGACATCAAAAATGTTCTGCAAAAATTATCAGGTTTCAAATTACAAGCGCTTCCACTTTTATTTGTGTGAAATTTTAAAAAGTCCACATTAAATCAACCATGACCTCCCGCAGCTTGCTTTTTGCACCAAGTGATAGAGTAATCTTCGGTTTCTATTTCTTTTCGTGTACGTAATCGCGTGACCCTTACTTTTGGTCGAAACTGGTCAAAACCAGAAGTGCTTTATAATTTAAATTTCATAATAGATACCAACCTACTTTCAACAGTGTTAGTATTCCTCTAAACATGCACGTGTGACGTCATGCAAAATTCAAGCGCCCTCTACTTATCGGTTGAAAAAAATTCAAATATCTATTTTGAAGAGATGCCTGTGGTAAAGTTTGCTGGAATCGCTTGAAAATTGGTAAATAGAATGACTCCACCGTCTGCAACCTTTCAGCAAAAAAAAAGGGCTGATGACTTCATCAGACTTGAAGTTAAAACGAAAACACCATTAAATCATTAAAAATCGCTAAAAAATCAATCCCAAATGCTGGAGTCAGCAATTGCCCATTGAAGGCTAGAGTAGACATCTGCATCCATTGTCTAAAGTGTCTAGCTCGTTGCATTGTTCATGAACGCGCTGTGCGCCACTGATAACATAATTGCCATCTTTTGAAAATGCCGGGAACTCGACCCGTACAGGTAAGAGCCGTAGCGGTAAGTGCTACATGTATACGCTCTATGTAAAGCGTGTAACGGAGCTACGCTATGTTGGGGGATCTGGCAAAATGCCAAACACGTGGCACGGAAAGCGTGTGTGGGTGTGCTGTCATGCTCCTGCTGTAGCAAGAAGGGCAGTTGTCCCACAGACCCCAATTTGATTCCCGCCTGTTCCGTGCCGGTAAATTTACTTTATCTTCTGTATGTATGATTGGGCCCTGCATATACTGTACTTGTGTTAAATTTTGAACTGCGGACTTAACGACAGGTATTCGATCACCGCCCGTTCCAACTTCATTACATCTTTTATCCGACCAAAAGAGTTTCCCGAAACAGCTCAGTGTTTGTCTGTAGGCCAACACAGCGTTCGTCTCGTTTGTTCTTGATTTACCTTATTGGAGAAACTAATTTTACGTTAACAAGTTCTTCATAACCTTACCTATCCGTCTGGGGGGTTAAGGAATATGTCAGAACGAACCACTGGCTTCAAAATCGAGGAAAACACACTGAGAGACAACGTTACTGTTTTTCACGGTTGTAGACGTAATATGGGCAATTTACAATAGTGTGCCCCAAGAGTTTGCAACGCGTTGGCCAATCACAACTCGCGAAATTTGTCGACCCTTTCCGTACGTGCATTGGGTCTACAGATTTCGTGCATTGTGATTGGCCAACGCGATGCAAACTCTTAGTGACGCACTGTTGTGAATTGCCCGTATTCATCCGTTCTCAAGTTGGTATGTGCACCAAGTACATGAATCCGACCTGCGTGCACGCACTAGGCGTGCGCGATTTCCAGTGAAGGTCCATTGCACGCCTGCTACACGGAAGCCGTGAGTGGTACCCGGCTTAAACCCGTCTGCAGATATAAGAAACGCAGCTCTGTTTTTGTTGGATTGGGGGCTTCAGGCTGACCAATAGCCCCCGGTTGGTTACCCCTAAAATGTTCAAATTGTTCTGCTTTATGGGTTGATAAACATAAATCTGCAAAACAACCTGCTATTTTTAACCTCGGTCAGCGTACCCGGCTTTATAATATGCATTGTGCTTTTATGGGAATCAACGATCTCTCTTTGAAGTGTTTAATTTGTCCGTAGATTTTTATTAATGTGGGGAGTTGCCCGTATATTTATCATGTATAATCTATAATCATGTATATTTATCATGTATAATTTAAGATCCTTTCAATGTTTACGTTGTTGCATAGCGTCTGAGAGGGTTCCCTCACCCTTCAC